TTCAGCTTTGCCACAAGCCCTGCTGGAAGTTTCAGATATTTACTGGGAGCTTTACTGTATCTTATTTGAAGAGATAAGGCTATTGAATCATTAACAAAGATATCTTTCTCCCACAAGTTCATTAAGCATTAAGCTTATTATTTATATCACAATGGAGCTAAGAGCCCCGGTTGTGAGCCAGGATGTGGCTCTGTTGGGCTCCGTACAGATAGGCATGAAAGCATTTGTCCCAGAGAATCCTGGGTCATCCTTTGAACCAGAACAAAATGTGCAAAGCGGGCAAGGACAAACATACAAAACAGCATTGTGAAAGCTCCACGTGGAAGCTGGCTGGCCAGGGAACAGCTGCACCGAAGCTTATTCATGCACTGTATGACTGGCCATTTTGGAAACTCTGGTCCAACGTTGGCTCTGCACTGCAATGCTCTTAGCTCACAACAGAGACCACTCCAAAGAAAGGAGTGTCAAGGTATCTTCTTTGTGCTTCTTTCCAAACAGTATCACTGCATATCTCAGCATATATTGGACACATGTTATCTGTTACACTGAAGAAAAGTAAACTATGGAACTCTACCATTTTGAAAGACAATGCATTTTTCCCAATGAAAACTCTTGCTCGGTGATGGTTCTGCCTCAGTCTTCTGTGGTTAAGGAGGTTTTCTCCTACCCATCTAGAGAGCCTACTTCTCATTTGAAATGCAATTTCTTAATCAGTTAATATACATCACTAAAATGATCCAGAATCCAAAAAGATAATCAGCAATAACTAAAACTTCCTTACCAGTAACCAGACAAGGAGCCAACACAGAAAGGGCGAGGAAGTAATGTAATATTCTTATTAGTGATGTGCTTTATCATGGAAATTATTAAGTGTAATGCCTAAGGGGAAAATCTCTGTCCAAGGAAAAGGGCAATCTCTTAAGCTGTGCTCAAAGCCACGTAGCCTCCTCTGAATTTCAGAGATGAGCATGGAAGCAGACTGCTGGTTCAAGCTGTGCCAAGGCAGACTGCTGGCACCACCTCCCCTGCCTGCCCCTAGCACAGGGATGTCTCTGTGGCTGCTCTGCTCTCAGGTATTCTTTTAACTACTTTCTAGAAATTTAAAAATAAAAATCAAGGTCTAAATAAACTCCGAATTTGTATTTGGAAATGCCCCAATCAATTCTTTCACCAGCTGCCCTAGTGAGAATTCAGTGATAAAATGCCCAATGGAGAAGCATTAAAGAGGGTAAGCCTGGTAATTTGTCAAATCTACTTGCCTCTGCATAAATAAGTAATGATAAACTATGTACATAAAGTTTGAATTTGGCTTCGGCTCTTTTTTTGCTCTAAATTACAGCATGAAATTAGAAAAACATACATTTTGCAGAATTTTAAAGGTGGTCTTCAAAACAGTCCACTGAATATGTGATCCAAAATGCTGAGGGAGTCTGACTTGAGGCTGTCATATATGGACCAGAGATTCATTCTGTTAATTAACATCTCCTATATTGTAAGGGGGAGGTGGAGGGAGAAGAAGAGGAAGCAGAGCACCCATCACCACCAAACAGACCACAGACAAGCTGTAGCCTCCTCTGTAATTACAGATAACAGATGCCTGCACAACTGCTTCTCTACATGTCGAACTACATGAACCATAACAAACACAGGTGTGTAAGCATGTAGCTAGAATACAAAGAAAAATAGGAAGAGCTTAAGACAGTACAAACCAGGCAATCATGATGCTGTGTAACAGCTTGGACACTGTTTAACACAAATACTAATTGACCAGATACACTACTTACATTATGCTTTTACTAAGACCCAAACAAAATAACTTCATGACTTTGGCAGAAGCTTGAAAACCATGAACCATCCAAGCCATCAACATTACACTTCTAGTCTTTCACAACCCAGTTCAGCATCATCTCTCCTCTCTGATTTGATTTTTAAATACCAGGCTCTTGCCCCCTGCACCTGTGTTGCTCTGCACAGATCCTCGTCACTTTGCTTTATAGAGCATGTCTCATTTGTCATGCTGTCATATGAAATAAAGCCAGAAGAAAAAAAGACCACCAACCATTTCATTTGTCTGCAAGGCTGCATACAGGTATTTGGCCTTAAATTTCCTGCTGACTTCAAGGAAAATCCCAAAGCTAATGAACTCTGTTCATCCACCAGTGTCTAATGAACACAGATGACTAAATTATGAATTAAAGCATCTGTATACTTAAAAAGACTGTCTTAGAAAAAAAAAAAAAAAAAGAATAAAAAAGGAGTCACTGAAATGTTCTTTAAGAAAAAAGCTATAATTATTCCAAGTAATATATGTGGAGCAAAAAAAATATATATTAATATAAACAGAGTAAAGAAGTACCACGGACCCAACTAGTCTTAAAGAAAAAAGGAAAATGAACTTTTTGGTATTTTTTCTTCTGATTGCCGTGGGTGTGCACTATAAGAGTGTAATAATATTCAGGCTCATGATATTCAAGATCTTAACCCCTGTATTTAGAGGCATTTGATTCTCCTTGAAAGCATCCAAGAAAAGCTATCAACAAACCTTTCATTTATGTGAAATAACAGACATCAGCAAACTGTGTGTCAACATTAATGCGGACATTCCAGTGGATACAAAGCTTCCTTTTTTACATTACATAAACCAACCAAACCTGATACACTTTCAGTCTATGGAATTTCCTCACCTCCAACTTTCTTTGTTTTAAGGAAAACTGCCTCCAGTAATCTACGTGAAAGTAATCAGGCAAAACAGAACACAATATAGTCTGGAAAATAGATGCACAGTATGAATGAGATTCTTTTCTAGAAGAACTTATGTTTAAAAAAAAATCTTTTCAAAGAAGGGTGAAGTATTAGAAAAGATTGATGTGTCTCATTCAGCCAGCAGGAGAGAAGTGGAAGCAATCTGGAACAGCTTACACTAATTAAAATTTACTCTTCAGTGCCAGCAAGAAAGGCGTCTCAGTATCTAAGTCAACTTTTGTGTGAAGCTAAAGCAGCAGCTGGCATATCTCTGAACACACTCTATTAGGAGGATGCTTCATTAGTATTCTTTTAATTGAAGTTGTCTGTACTTATGAGCATATACTGGTCCTGCTTTCATTTGTCGGTTTTGGAGAGTTTTGCTCTAAAATGACCAAAACCTCTACACTATCTGCCACGACTATTTTCTACAACTATCTGTCCACAAAAGATGATACACAGTGGCAGGTACTTGCAGATCTCTACCTAAGTGCACACTAAATTGGTAACAGCAGGAGCTCTCTTGTTCTGTGTACTGGTAAGTTTGCCCAGCAGGACCCAATTTTGATTTAAAAAACAAAATCTCAGCACAAGTGAGAGTCAAAATTATGTATTACCATCCCTGCTACCTATGGTTTCAGTTTGGAACCCAAACAGACAATTCTAGCAGAGACTATGGCTATCAAGAAGTGACTCCCCAGCTCTGTCACTTGTCATCAGTGATGCAACTCCTATAAATACTGTTTGCTAGGTAGCATTTTGGCACCTGGAGTCTCATCATGGGGAAGGGGCCCCAGTGCTGGACAAGCACACCCCTCTTGGAGAACCAGGTCTACTGTGATCCAGATACTCCTCTCACTGAACACCACTAGTTTGGGAACCAATGCTATGACAGAGAAAAAGAACGTCAGTGCTGTCCACATCGCTAGGTCCTCCAAGTCCTTGCTGGTTATCACTCCTAGATATCAGAAATTCAAACAAGTATGATTTCCACATGATTCCTTTAACTCAGAATGATTCTCTGGGTGCCTGCAGGTCTGCATACAACTTTATGTTGGTTTATAATTCTTCTAAATATTTTTAGAGTTTCCTTAACTCTTCGTTAACCAATCAGGCCTGGGCTTTTTCAGCTCCAAAGCCACAGTTAGAGTGGAATATTATGGCTTAACAGACAGAAAGGCATGATATGCAAAATATGCCTTTCTTTTCCCATTTTCCTAACGGGTCTGAGTACATGCTCTCAGTCAAATCAGAACCTGAGATTCTCTTCACTCATCTGATGAGCACAAACCTTATCCAACTATGCCTTTACATTGCCCTTCATAATCCCAGGATCTCAAAGCCAAGTACCAGTAGAAAATACAGAAAGCCTCCCTCAACAAAACCAAAATTGCTGGTAAACTACCTAGCATCACAAAAAAAATCTGCAGTCATTTTGAATTATAAAACTATGCTGGGTAAATCATTACAAATTAACCTCCTAAGTGCAATCCAGAAGTCAGAGAAAGAATCAGAAATTCCAAAAGATTTAATGGTTAAGTTACCACAGGCAGAGCTGAATACTTCCTGTGAGTCAGTAATTTACAAATTCTCTTATAAGCATTAAAACTCAACAGCAAACCAAGTTAATTTCCCTTTGAACCTTTCTTCACCCTCTCTTTCCCCTTAACTTGATTTCTCTCTCTCTCTTTTTTTTTTTTTAAACAATAATGGTTTCTTAAGAACCATTCCTGAAAACGGTTCCTGATCACAAATCCATTTCAGTATCAATCTACCAGAGGCATAAACCTGGTGATACCCCTCTTTAAAGGATAATTTAAATAAATTGAAGTGTTAAACAGTGGAAGAAAATTAATTTCCTCTAACATTGTCCTTTTCTGAATACTTCAGCTTGTGCAAATATATATGGAAAAACTGGAATCTCTTAACTCTGAAACCCCTCACTGCATCAAAAGGACACTTTTACAGTGTCTATAAAAGAAAATGAGCCCTTCAAAATATCCAATTTCTGGGTAAAAGTCATTTGTTCATACAGAAATAACTAAGTGTAAATGTCTCTTCCAACCTGTAGTACCAGATACTTAAAAAAAAAAAAAAAAAAAGAAAGAAAGAAAGAAAAGGATGGCTTCCAGAGACAGTCTACACTTCTAAAAGGAGGAGAAAAAAATTAAATCAAGAAGATTGAATTGAGACAGTTTCAATCAAATGCTGATGAGCTCAGAAAGTGAAAGGATTCAGAAAGAAGATGGAATACTTACTGCTGGAGGCAGACAATTCTTTGGGGCTGGAGGACATTGGCTGAGCACACAACTGACAGAGACAATCCCTTCCATTAAAGGTAACTCGATCACCTGGTGGAAATGGGCGCCTGGAGAGTTAAAAAGAAAAATCTATTTTAGCAAAGGTTACACCAGAAATTCTGTTCTGTTCCACATGCCTCAAGTTTGCTGCCTTCCACCAGTGCAATTAATATTTTACAGAAACTCAGGCCAAAGAGTTTCTGCAATGTGGCCTTGGCAAAGCCAGGCACTGGAAGAAATCCAATCCACAGATGCAAGCAGAGCAGAGGTTAGACTTGCCTTGTATTTTGGTTTCAAAATGTTATACAACATACTTTATCTAAAGAGAAGAACATCTTGAGACTTGTGTCTCATGGTGACGACTTTCTCCCTGTTTTTCTGGTACTGGGTTCAGGCCACACTAGTTGAAAGGGATGACTTACTTGCAAACAGTACAGGCAAAGCAGGTTGGATGGTAAGTTTTTCCCAGAGCTGTCACTACTTCTCCTTCAACGAACTCCCCACAGCCGTTGCAGCGGGTACCATACATGCGCTGGTAATCCAAAGTACAAAGGTATTCCCCATTCTTAATGAAAAAGCCTCCTTGTGCCAAGTCACAGCCACACACTGGAAGAAAAAACAAAAAAAAAACACACATACAGATTGGAAAAATATACCTACAAAGGATGTTAGCAACACTCTATGATGCCTACAAATGAGAGGACCCTGGTGGTCTTGCTTCCTTCTGTCAGATTCTTGCCTTTTCCTACTGTCACTGCAGGCCTTGACTTCCCAGAAAATGACTGGCATTCTCTGGCTACAAGAGACTTTGTGATAAAGAGTTAAAAAATGGAACTTAGGATTGACTGGTATGCTATGAAGCATAAAATATGACATAGTGAAAGATACTACCTCCCAAGTAACTGCTTTTATAAAATTTTCGAGTCACTCAGAACTCCTTCTGTTGCTGTTTCTTTAAAAGCTGGAGTTATTTGGAATGCATACCACATTAAAAAGAAAAATGTCTCATAACAAAAACTTGGGGCTCATGTTCCCCACTTATTGCCTGTTGCATTGTGTTTGCCTTTCTGATCTCATTCTGAGATGATCACTTAAACTGAAAAGCTCATTCTCTGAGCAGCTGAATCTTAAACAACTGCCACTGACTGGGGAAAGCAAAATCCTTAAACCAACCCTACTGAATTACAGGGGATGCATGTTTTTTAACCTAAGAAAGACACTGGAGGCAGCTGAAATATTTTTTTTAATTATTTTAGACAAGTGGTAGATGTGGACGCATTCTTAGGGGAAATTGCTAAACAGGGCCTACCTTCTAAGATAGGTTTTGCATTGTGTTTACTCCTGGTTATCACCAAATTACAGATTCACTAAGAACAGGATGCTCATGACTTTTTGTTTTCATGACAATACGTGCTTAAAGAACCTGCTCACTTCAGCACATCTTTGGCACACCACTGGACCTTGTGGGAGTTTGCCTCAAATCACCTGAAGCACTTGCAAGAATGCTTCTAACACAGGAAGGAAGAGGTTAAGCCTCTGCCCAACATCAAGCAAATCACTTATTTCCCTGCAACACCACCAAGCAGGCTTTGCAGATGGAGGCAGTTTTACTGTGGCAGTATCAGGCTGCAGCTGAATTTGTGCTCCTTGCTGAAAGACAAGGCTGTCTTTCGTCTTCGTTCAGGGTCAGCACACTGCTATCTCACTAACCCTGCCAAAATCTCTGTGTGGGGCCACACTGTAATCTGTGAATGAACCTATTTGTTTGGAGCTAGCTTGGAGAACAGTTTTTTACAGCCTCCCTACTCCACGGGTTCAGTTAACGGTGGTGGATGAGTCTTTCAGATTAACCTAACGTTTTAGAGAGAAGATCATAGCAATATTGATTCTGACAGCAACGACAACATAAAAGACCACAACTACACAGCAAGGAAGTAACGGGTGCAGTCACTTGCTTATTTCCTCGTGGAATACAGTGTTGTAGAAATCAAGATAAATCAGATGGTCATGAAAAAATAATACATCTGACAGAAAAATTCTACGCGGTACCTGGACTAGTGGGGATTTCCCCAGAGGCACTCATTGATTTTAGGCCACGAAAGCAGTCAGGAACAATTCTTTCTTGTAAGGGCACATGGAAGAGACTTAGGAAGGAATAAGGTAAGACTGCATTATCTTCTTTTGCCTGGAAATCAGACAACCTTTTTGACACCAAGTCATGAACAGGGTGATACTACCCACTCTGTGGCCTGGTCTGCAAAGCCACAGTACAGCCTAAACTGGGATTTTCATCTATTTTCCCAGCTGAAACTATTCCAGGGTTGTTCAACCCTGGAACCTGCCCACAGGTCTCTAATTCACTTGCCCAAGGAAGATAGAGTTTGTACCAACGCAATCCTGCTTTCACTTCAGGTATAGGAGATGAGCAGAAGATACGATTTCATAAATACAACAGATTTTACTATTTTATACACTATCACACATTTTTCCCCTCAGGCATGCGCTTTCTTATAAGAAGCTTTCATGTTGCTGCTTCTTTTTGAACCAATGACTATTTCAGGAATGTTGTGTGGTTTTGATTAACTCCTCCATTCCCCAGATAATGCTGAGCTATCGCACCTTCACTGCATCAATACTTTTTGCATTGCTTTAAAAAGTACATTTGAAATGTTCAGGGTAAACCATCAGTATTTAGTTACACACAAATACTGTGAGAAGGCTGCAGTAAAGACAGTCAAGCATTAAAAATCTAGCCACATCTCCGCTATCTATAATTTATGATACGTGCAGCCAAACCATATGACAGCATAGTGGATCTTGAATATGGCAAATGGGAATAAAGAGTATTAACCATCTGTATTTTGGACAAAGTCATTTCCCAAGAACTGTTATTGCCTTTGAGTGGCTAATCTGCATTGGTTGTGTGTTGGTCTTTTACACACTGTATTCCCTGTACTTCATGGATTAAATAACACTGCATTTGAATATGAAATTGTAGCTACATAAAATGCTAGTTGTGTACTACTTTACTTGGAAAAATAAGTGTGTTTATTAAAGGGTGAGAGACCAGTCGATGATTCCTGTGAGCTGGCAGTTTTTCACTATTAAATGTTTATTCACCAGGAACCTGTTTTGCTGTAAGAAAATATTCATAGTGCTACTTTGGCATTTTTGGTCAACTTAAGAGGCAGAAAGCAATCCATCCCCAAACTGTCAACTCCTATGAAGGGAAAGTGACACAAGAGATAGGAGACTGAATTTTACAATTCTTCTTTAGTTTGGGCTGAACCAAGGACTTGAACCTGAATCTAAAATACAAAAGTAGCACTGAAAATACTGGACTGTTTACTTCATGTGTTGTTTTTTTGTTTTTTTGTTTTTTAAAGTCCTCTTTATAGACCTCTGTGGGAAAGCATAAATATGAGCTGCTAGATAACTTCTTAAAAGGACATGCATGTGGCAGCTCCCAGGCATTTTTAAATGTTATTGTAACAGTAATTAATAGAATACTAATAAAGATCACACGCTAAAATGCAAGTTAGAATTTAAGAAGCATCAGTACTAGCATTCTTCCAGTTTCCCATTTCTGCATAGACCAGTGTTAATATTTATATGCAAACAAATACCATTTCACAGTGGCATTAAACCCACAATCAGCTAAAACTCAATTATCAGTGACTGAGGAGAGTGACAAAGAGCTACAGTTAAAGCTCTATCATAATGCTCCAAAAAATGTTCTAAACTGGTTTTCAGGTACACTTCCAGAAAAAAAAAAAAAAAAAAAAAAAAAAAGAAAGAAAAAAAAAAAACCTTTTTAATTCTTCCTTTTTTTTTTTCTCCTGATTTCCATTTTGTTTCAAATACTCTTTCCAAGTTAACATTACATTATGTAACCATATCAGGCAGAAAATAATGTGATCTCCACATCACAGGTAAGGTAAGACCTTAGACTTACCTTGTTTTGGGGGCTACCAAGACTTTTTCCACTGGACATCCAGAAGCAAAGCACAAGCATATTTACAATAGGTTTGCTCTGCTTTAACGCCTAGATGTTGTTAGGGATTACTTCAGTATTCAGACTGCCAGATCCTGTGGTTACGCTGCATGGACTGGAGTACTGGTATGGAATGCCCCATACTGGATGCTTCAGAAGGTGCTAAATGTCACGAGGAGTTATGGAGTGCTCATGTGTCTACATGCAAGTTTCTTCCTAACCTCCTTTAGTTTGTATTTTAGCTTGTAGCTTTAAAGCCCAAGTCTACATATATTTTGGCCTCAAGCTGAAGGCAGTCTCACTACTGCCTCAGAAGCCTTCTATTTAACTTTCTGGCTCTTCACTGTGGCTCCCAATTCTACCACTGAGTCACTTTCTGAAAAACTCACTTAGTCATCAGGGTTGGTATAATAAGGTAGGATGATGAAGTAACTTTCCGTGCAACCTGTGTTCTTCTGACAATCCATCTTCACTGTATCCTACAAAGGACTGTGGCAGATGCATCATTGTTTGCAAAAACATCTACAAACTTTGAATCAAAGAGTTCATACTCTCAATTATTAAGCTTCATCCCTTTTGCTTGGGGGAAAAAAGGATGAAAATGGGGGATAAAATTATTTGGAGAGTGTTACAAAGGCAGTAACGACTGTTCTAAACAAGATGTTCCCCCAATTACCCTTTTCCTTACGAAATCACCTTTCCAGTCAATCTCTTATTGTTTTTGCCAGTCACTGAGAGCAAGTTAGATTCTCTCTTACTGGCAAGTCATGAATGCAGACACAAGGAGAACTGTTTATTATGTGAACCACCAGCAGATTCATCATCTTTGGCTTCTTCACAGCAGGAAGCACAAACCAATCTGCAAGAATTAAAGACAAGTTCTGGCAACCTCACATTACAATGGATTTTCACAGGCAATTTAGTACATGGGTTCCTATCACTAATCAGCTTTAAGCTACACGGACCAAACAAGGGTCACCCAGACTGTTAACATCCATTGGTTGGAAAAATGCTGTTCCAACATGCTGCTTTCGCTTGGAGTCAGAGATGGAATCAGAAGAGATAAACATGACAGAATCCACACTTGGTGTACAACTTTGTATACAAAGAAGGAACTTTAACAGCTTTTTTCTTCCTGCAACTGTGCAGAACTAATGATTCTGACCACAAATCCCCTCAAGCTTAAAAACATTGCATTAACACGCATATTTACAATCACTGTAAAAATACCACAGAAAAGATGAACTGATTGTCATAGACTTTCTTTTAAATGAACACAATCTGCCCAGCATTGTTCATGCCACATACAGTAGAGGCAATGAAGTGAAACCCACTGAGTTCAATATATAAGTACAATAAATCCCAGTGGTGTGATGTAGGCAATAACTGTGATACAAGTATCATGCCATAAAACAACAAAAAATAAATCCACAGTGATGACAGTTAATAGGAAACATCAAAGTATTTTCTTTTTTTTTTTCCTGTGCTGATGGGAAAAGAAACACTTCAAGAGAATTAATTAGTGAAGCCAGTAATGATTATTAAATCCTGCTTGAAAAGGTGAAAAGGAAGAAGTGTTTTGTAAGCATCCACCACATGGAAATATTCTACC